TGGGGTGAGATGGAGGGAAAGATGGGGGGAAGGGTGGGGAAGTAGATTGGTTATGCAGATGCAGGTTAAATGTAAAACAGATTAAAAATACTTTATATATTGTGCTGTGTTTCAAAAAAATGTATTTGTTGAGACCCTCTGAGATCATCTAAAACCTTTTGATGTATGAGAATTCAACAATTTCTCCCTTGATGGTTGCTGTTAAAGTCCTACCTTTCCAAAATAGTCACTTTGAGGTCTGCCATGGAGTGTCCTGGGAGGCTGAAATGCTCTGATATTACTTTGTCCTTGTTTTGAGTACTGTTGTCAAACTTGCACAAAGTTTATCTCGTTTATCTTATATAGAATCCAGAGGAGCATTGCTGGCAGATGATGGCATATATCACAATGGAGCAACGTGGTGGGACAATCACAATGGAGGAACACGGTGGGGTAAACACCTTTATGAATCTCAGCTCAAGAAACACATCATAGAAGAGAAGTAGCAGACAAAGACAAATGGTTGATGTACCGGGAACTATTGGAAAACCATCAAGGGGAATTTAATATTAAATCAAGAGAGCAATTAGTAGCAGAAGGATATAATTGTCAATGGTTTTCCCGTTTACAGTTATCAGAAAGATTAAAAATGGACAAAAAGACTTATGGTATGTAGCAAAATAAGACAGAATTTGAAGTACAATTGTGCACTGATGATGAACACATAATTGCTAAAATGTATTAATTTTTGTTGAAATTTGAAACAGAGGAAGAGCAGGTTAAAGAATGTATGATAAAGTGAGCTAAGGATTTTGGTTATAATATACAGATGGATCAGTGGGAAAATACGTGGTTAAAAGGGGTGAAATTTACATTATGTTATGATCTTAAAGAGAATTTTTATAAAATGATGTATCATTGGTATATGACACCAGAGAAATTATTTAGAATGTATAAAGGCACTTCAAATGTATGTTGGAAATGTGAACAACATAAAGGGATATTTTATCACGCTTGGTGGACGTGTAAAAAAGCTAAAAAAAATTGGATTCAAATACATACTTTCATACGGAGGATTTTCAAGATTAATATTCAATTGAAGCCAGAACTTTTTCTTTTAGGATTAATGGATAAACAATTAGAAAAAAGGCATGGAAGATTATTTCAATATATGGTTACTGTGAGAGTGAGTTGTTTGAAGTGGGAATGGGGTACTTAAGAAACATGTATGTTAAAATATGAAGAGATGGTGTCAAGAACCAACAGGTGCTAAGTAAATATGGATTGAATCCAAAAGTGACTGACTAGTATGAAAGAATTATGATGAGGTGGTTTGGTCATATAGAAAGAATGAATAAGAAGTTCTACAGGTGTTTCATCCTTGAATTATATTAAAATCGAGGTATCTTTATCCAGAATCTCTTGATAAAAATTATTAAGATCAGAACACTGGAGATCAAAAGGAATTTTTCACCCCAGATAGTGCTGAAGATTTGCTGGGCTCAATTTTTTTTCCTGATCTAGCTGGCTAATCATGAAACTCAATCTTAAAACAGCACCTTAACAAAAGATGGAACACTTTGTGGGCATCAGCTGTTACCAGAACACTTCAAAGAATGTGAATCTATAAATGATATTTCTCTGTTCCTGGAAGTCCAAGGTATCTCACCCTGAGACTCCAGATATAACAGCACAGGTAGAAACAATACTGAAATAAAGGAATGTTGGATACAAAGGAATCTGTAAGAGCTGCAATTAATTATAGACTAATCTGCTGAAAAGGTTGGATGCTTTGAAGGTTACCCTGAAGATTAGCTCTTGGGTGGGTGGGGCACTTTGCCTAACGAATTTTAATGTATTTTGTAACACCTAAGCAGGACTTCTCCCCTGATCAGGAGCCTCATCTTATCTGCATCCAGTTGGGTCCCCTTTTCCTTCCCAGTGCAGTTGTTCCTTCTCCATACACCATCTCAATTCTGTTTTGTTTTCCTTATTTTTTCCTTTTTCTGATAGAAGAAGAAAGAGAATTTGTACATATTTCTGTTTGTAAGAGTAGTTTGCATGTTTGAGAGAGAATGGTCAGCAGAAGGAGATCAATTAATTTTATAAAGGGGTACTTTTTTTCTACAGGCACTTCATTTTAATCAGTTATTCATTTTAACCCCTCTGGCCCTGTCCTTTTCTGGAATATAGTTTCTGCAGATATATATAATATAAACATACATATATGATGTACAACTGTTAAGTGTTAACACATTTACTGGATGGAGAAAATCTCAGTGACTGGCTTCAGCTGGAATTAGCAACCTAAATTGTAGAGTTGGGCATTGCGCAGGATTTTTTTTCTGTTTATAAAATTTTCGGTCTCTACTTTTACTTTACAGGTGGCAAGATGGTTGTAAATTCAGAGTTATATTTCTTTCAGGTACTGTGGTAGCCCCAGAACTTGAGATGTCAGACTGAGCCCCCCACCTAGGTAAAATAACAGATAAGAGAACAGAGCTCTTGCTGAATGTAGCAGTTGTAACTGTCTCCCTCCCACTCCTTTGCTATTTGTGAACACTTGTACTTGTCTTGCCTAAACTCGTTTTCTCTCTCTTTCACTCCCTAACTCCTACTGGGAATCCAGATTCAGTGTCTACATACTCCAGCTGCTGAGTTTATATTCCATCTGGATCTCCTCTTATTGTCCCCAAGATGCTCTTCCACTGGACCTTCTTCCACTTCTCCTTTTGTGCATACCAGGGTGGAGGTTCCCTCTACTGAGCAGATGTGCCCATATTCTACCAGCAGCTATTCCTTTTCAGGGAGTGTTGATTTATTTGCTGGTGGTAAGGACCTATAAGTTCCATCGGAGAAAGGCATCTTATCTTTTTTGTACCTTTTCCTGGTTGTGTTCTTTTCCTAGTAGCTATGATTGCTAAGATACCAGCATAGCAGCTGTATAGCTACTTCCTTCCTCAGCATGATTAGGAAGCACTGTCTTTATGTCCATATTAGGATTTCACTCACTGATAATTGGTGTGTTAACCGAATTTAAGTACAGTACAAATCTGGACAGTTTATAAGTACATTGCTGTTGTGAATACCAGCCAACATACAAGATAACTGTATGTTTAATAAACCTAGACTTTTATTCACTTTGGATGGAAAACAAATTTTCCCTCTTTTAAGGGAAAGAAAATTATTTTAAAATGTCTGTGTCACAGTTCCATCTTGGCTTCCAGGGATGAATCAATTAAGTATAACCTAAAATAAAAAAAGGGGAGATTAGAGGTTGAGGCATTCTATGTGAGCATTCCTAAAAGTGGGAATTTGATCTGAGCAATGCAAGTTTTATAGTAGACAGATGATTTATTTACAGGAAATACAGTATAGGGATGGGCAAAACCTAGCACCTAGCTAAAGATATCCTCTCAGAAAGAGAATCAAACACCTGTGTCTGTGTGTGTAATGGGCACTGCTACTACAGAACAAACATTTTCAGAGATTGTGAGGTTTGGGAAGAGACATTTGCAATTCTGTTTCCGTGTCTTTGAAGGGGAAGAAGATCTTGCATGTGCCAGATATGGCAAAATTATAGCCCAAATCAATTATATAAATTAAGGTTGCAATTAAGATAAATTAAGACATGTAAATCACTAGCACACTAGAGGACAATCTAAATCAAATACCTGATCAGAAAGGACCAGAGAGATGCAAGGGCTGCTGTGTTTAATCAAAGTGTTTATTGGTACAGTTGCCTATTCATGGAATATCACATTCAATCAGCATAGCAAAACAACTGAGTAGTTTTGCCTTGTCCCTCTTATGTTTTTCATACTCCCAGATCTGTTGAACTGCCAATATCTCACTCAATAACCATGCTCATTTGAGGTGGTTGTAATTACAGTAAAATCCAACAGATCTGGAGTGTGCTAGCTTAGGTGGCGTGGTGGTGGTGATTTTAATTTTAATCTATTTTAATTCAACCTGTAAATAAACTCCAGTTTATGCAACTGAAACAACTGTATAACATTTACTTATTTAACTCCTGCTTCCCTTTCTCTCCTGTTCCTCTACACTTATTTTTTCCTATGTAGAATTTTAGACTGTAAGCTTCTTGAGCCAGGAATACATTTTACATTCTTACATAGTTGATGCAATGCTAATGGTGTAATACTGGAGAAATTACGTAGAACTTCATTCTTGTTTTTCTTTTGCATTGCAGAGATGTTGGAAAGACTTGTACTTTCCTCCTGTGCCTTCTCACTTTTGCTGGTAAGTGACTTCATTTAGAAGTAAGAGGACATTTGTGGACAGTAACATTGGGTTTTAAAAACATTGAGAGCCAATGTGGTGTAGTGGTAAAGGGGTTAGACTAGGACCAGGGAGATGCAGATTTGAGCCCACCCTCAGTCATGGAAGTTGACTGGGTTGGGCCAGCCACTTTCCCCAAGCCCGACCTTCCTCCCGGGGTTGTTGCTGTGGTGAAAAATTGCATGAAGGTGCGCTAACTACATATGCTCCCTTGAGCACCTGAAAAAATTGGTGGGAATATAAGTCTAACAAAATAAATCAACGCAAAAAGTTACAGAGCAGTGATTAAAAGCCCTATCATGTCCAGAAGCTTGAAGTGTGCTGTTTCAGTGCTTTGATCCCCCACGTTTTTCCCATCTCTTTCCAGTAGTGAGAATTCAACCAGCCTCCTTCAGGATTAAGAGCAGCTTCGGGACTCCCAACGGACGCACGTTTTAATGGGATCCTTGACATGAGTGGCCACTGGATGTCGTAGTCAACAGATAAATTCTCTGAAACGTCATGTTCAGAGGGACCGAGGCAGGCGATTTCTGATCCCCAAACCGCCCCCCCCCATTCCGAAACCCTTGTTGGGGACCTTCTCCAGGGGAGGGCATCTGATTGGCCAGATTCAGGGCTGGGCTTCAAGAACTTGTGACCGCCACCGCCGTTTCTCAGAAGGACATTTGGTCTTCATGACCCCAGCAGACACCCAGGCGGCTGACTGCTTATCCCGGCGGTCCCTCACTCTCACTCTCACGCACACTCACTCATTCACACATAACCGCCGGTCCCGTTCCCTTTGCAGCTCCGCGCCCTTGCCTCGATGGAGGAAGAGGGAGGCAATAAGCAGCGGGGATTCAGGGCAGCCGGAGGGGGAGCGACAGAGGTGGGAGAGAAAGAGCGAAGTAGGATGGGAAGCTCGAGGGGCTGAGAGGTTGCTGCGCGCGCACTCGCACACAAAGGAGACGGAGGAGGAAACGGGCAGTGCCGCGCTTTGTGTGCTGAGGGGGCGAAGCGCCGGCGTCTCCCACCTTCCTCGGAAAGCAGCAGCGAGGAGAGGTGCGCCGAGAGGTCGGCCTCGTTGGGACAGTTGGGGTCTCGGCGCGGAGCGGCGCCCTTTGGTAAGCGGCGAGCATCCGATTGCAGCGGCGAGATGCTCTGGGCGGGCGCGCGGGCGCGGCGGATGCAGAGGGCAAGATGCAAAAGAGGCCTTGCTTGGGGCTGGTGGGGCAAAAGGCTTGCCAGGTGGGCTCCAGGCTCCGGAAAAGGAGAACGGACCGGCAACTCTGGCTTCGCGTGCCTGCTTGGGTGCTCTGGCGCAGAGGGGTGTGCCTGTTGGTGCGCTGTGGAGCAGGAGCAGGAGCAGGATGGGAGAGGTGCTAGGCTAAGAATAACTGTTGCATTTGTGCTTTCAAAGCAAAGAGATGGCGGCACCCCGGCTGCTGCGCCCTGCGCTTCTTGAATGCCTGCAAAGTGCTGGGTGCTGTACAGAAACCCGCGTCCACCCCGAGACCTCAAGTCCTTGTCCCGGGAAGTGAACCGTCTAAGTCAGAGAAATGGCAGGGTTGATAATGAGGAGCTACGGCGTGGGTAGGAGACTGCAACGACATGAAGAGTAGCTTCTTGAGCTCCTTTGGGATGGAGTTGGCCTTTCTGCAGCTTGATCTCGTGATGTTTCTGTTTTCGCCTTATTGAAGAAAGAACTCCGTGGGTATTTTGCTATAGCGGTGGGTGATTCGGAAAGAGAGGTGCTGGCTGTTCAGACTTGCCTTGAGAGCCAGTCATTGGCTCTGAACTGGAATGCCTGCTTCCTAATTCGAGCCCAGAGCCGGAGATTTGGCTGTAAGGAGCAAGGTGTACTGTGGTTGTGGTTGTACAATACATTGAAGTGCAAACTGGCCAGCCACATTTTAGCCTGGTGTGTCGAACCATTTCTCCCACTTGGTTGACTTATGATTCAGTGAGTATTTGTAGGTTTGTCCTATCTGTGCATTTTTAAAGGCACAGGTACACAAGGCAAATCAAATAATGGAATCTAAGAACTCAGCCAAGACACAGGCTTTTTTTAAAAATTCCACTTAAAATTCTTCGTCCCTGCTCCCTATTACTCTCCATTACTCCTAGAAGCTGTGTAGGAATGGAATCCCTAATTCTAGTCTTGGTTTAAGACTAGGTCTTGATTTATCTTAGTTTACAAGAGGATAAATTAAAGTTCAGTCTTTGACGGTTCATATGTGGAATATTTCCATGCAGAATAGTTTCCTGGCATATGTAAAGTTTCAAGTAAATAGAAAGGTTCCAATCTATACTTCTCCCATAGCTTCCTAAGTCTATAAGATTTTTTTTTTTACTGACAGTAATTGATACGTGTATTGAGAATGCAAGTGGAAGGGGAGGAGAACTCGTAAAACAATATGTGAATGGTTATAAAGCAATACTTAAACTTGGATCACAGTGGGTACTCTGTAAGATCACACATACATTAAGTTTCTCATGTTTCCCCCCCCCCTATCTGGAAATTAATCTCTATATCATTTTGCGTGAATCAGCTAGTGGTACATGGATCTCATACCAATTTGAAAGAAGAAGAAGAAGAAGAAGAAGAAGAAGAAGAAGAAGAAGAAGAAGAAGAAGAAGAAGAAGAAGAAGAAGAAGAAGAAGAAGATAGTTCACAAAATTTGGGTGTACAAGTTTTTGCATATTTATGTATCTATTAAACTTATACTCTGCTGCAATTTGTATGTAGTCAACTTCTCCCTCTTTTGAAGAGCTGGGTGGTTTTTAAAAGCCCCTTACCTGACTGAATATGGAAAGAGATGGATAAATGTATGTTTGCAAATGTGGAGGATGGATGAATGGATAGTTGAATATGAATGCTTGTAGCCCCCATCTTGCTGCAGTGAGTTCTCGGGGCAACAAGAAAAAGAATTAACAACTTCCATCTTACATTTGTGTATGAGGGCAGCCATAGAAATCAAAATTATAAATAAAATGCATCAATATATGTTTATTTAAGCTTGTATCACTTCAATGTTTTGGACTGCACCTTCCATCATTCTGTCACATGTAGGCTGAGATGAGTGTGGGGTTTGCTCCCTAGCAAGTTCCCTAGTGAGCTCCCTAGCTCCCTAGTGAGTGTGGGAGCAAACCCCACACTTACTAGCACTGATGATGTTACCTAGTCAGGTAATGAAATGTCTGCAAGCAAACAACCAAACTCAGAAAGCACCAAGGACTCCATAATAGGATTAATCTGACAAGAAGGACAAGAAATAACTGAATGTAGAGGAAAGCAGATGAAAGAAATCTGTTGACAGTTTTCAATACTTAGCATTAAAAAATTATCCTGCCTGTAATAACTTTAATTTTTGATAAATAAGCAGAGAAATATTGTAACTATAAAAGTGGTTCTATAGGAAAATAACTTACAGAGAGAGGATGTTACAGGATCCTAGAAAGATTCAGCTGCAAAAAAATCTTGGAAGTCACTTCTGTTCTGAGAGCTGTTCTAATTAATAATCAAGGAGGGATTCTAGATACATGCTGTGGTGTATGTTGATCTATCTTACAGTAAATGGTTTTCCAAAAATATTGAAGGAAATTGGGAGAAATCATGTGATAGCACAGCTGTAGTTAAATGACAGTGTTGATGCTTAGCAGTACTATATTTTTTCTCGATGACATAATAGCATAGAAAATTGCAGAATGAAAGGCTCTCCTTTCTGAGGCTGTGAATGGGGTTTTGGAATTCAGCATTGGTGTGCTTTAATTCCAATGAAATGCTGAAATGCTGCACTGTTTGCTGGCTCCATTTGGGTGCCTTGCAACATCATGGACATCCATGGAAGGGGAAGTGTGAACAGATGATGTAATATGTCATGATGCAAGTGCCATGACATCAAATATCAGGATGCAAGTACATAATCACAACATTTATGACAATTGTCATTTGAACATCATCATAATTTGGTGCATTTGCTATGGGTAATATCACTGGTGAAGCCAATGAAGGAGCTTTGGTTTATTAGTAGCTATTGCTCTCTTAGCAGGGAAGAGATAATAATTTTGATTTAATTATTATAACCAAATGGCCTGAATGCTTAGTGCAAACAAGCATCAGGTTTGTTAGTTTGTGAACTTTGCCTAGGTGAGATATGCCTATTTCAGATGCATTTGGCTGGCTTTTGTTAAGAATAGGCTGCTTGTCTAGAGATTCAGCATATGCAAAACAGTTCTTATGAAGGAAAGAATTCAAATTATCTGTTGATAATAAAAGGGTAAAAATAGAGGAAACAGCAAAGCCTTCACTTTCTGAGTCTCTCTGCATGATAGTTCTTTCCAGTAACTCTTTCTTCTGTTAGAAGAATGTGTAGCAGCACCTTTATCCCCTTTGATAGTGAGATATTTCTTCTCTTCTCTTGGTGTAGCAAATAGTCCAGCCTTTCATTGCTTCTGAATTATTTATCTTGTACCATTTATTTGGAGCTGTAATCCTTTACTTGTAAATATTTTTATCTTTTTTAGGCAAGCCACTGTATTCAATGGCTAGAGAGTCAACGTAATAGCTTTTGGGCTAGTTATCATATAACAGCTAAACTGTCACTTGCTCTTTAGCCTTTCATTGAGGGAAGAATGCTCCTCTGCCAAAAATTGACTAGAAAAGCAATTAAAACAAATCCCCTGCCAAGATTCTGGGGATAATAGGGTCCTTAGTGGAAGGCTGGCTTCCACTCCAGCCAATTTTTGACCTGGAAAGTCTCAAGTGACTGGAGACACCACTTCATGAATGCGCACAGGGGGGAATTGTTTGCTGGGCATTGTAATCTATTCTGCGTGAGTCTGCAGTAGTATCCATGGGCACTATGTGGCCAGCCCAGTCTACTAAGTTTCCTGAAGAATGTTCAAGTAATTGATATAAAGTAGTTACCATAT